TCAGTGTTATAGCCTGTCTACCTCAGTGTTGTAGCCAGCCCACTTTAGTGTTGTAGCCTGCCCACCTCAGTGCTTTAACCTGCCCACCTCAGTGTTGCTGTCAGCCCATTTCAGCCCTTCTGCCCAGATAAGTGTTATGACAGTGAACACCTCATTAGTACCCCCAAGCTGAGCGTTCTAGCCGTGACTACCCGAGTGTTTTTGCCCTGACTACCAGACTACCAAAGTGTTTTGCTCTAACCACCCGAGTGTTTTTGCCCTGACTACCCAAATGATTTAGCCCCGACTACCGAGTGTTTTTGCCCCGACTACCTGAGTGGTTTACAGAATGTAATTTGCGGTAATTATTAAAACTATTTTTATGCCTACTGCGCATGCTTATATGTCTGTAAGCTACTGCCATGATGGAATAAACATGTGCCTGTCTGCCAGTCTAATAATGATGTCAGTGTACTGTTGTTCCCGAAACCACCGGACACTACACAGACTACCCGAGTGGTTTGAACTGACTACCCAAGTGTTTTAGCCCTGACTACCAGAGTGTTTTTGCCCTGACTACCCGAATGTTTAAGCCCCAACTACCCAGGTGTTTTAGCCCAGACTACCCGAGCGTTTTTGCCCTGACTATCCGAATGTTTTAGCCCGACTACCCGGGTGTTTTTGCCCCGACTACCCGAGTGGTTTAGCATTGACCCCGAGTGTTTTAGCCCTGACTACCCGAGCATTTTTGCCCCGACTACCCGAATGTTTTAGCCCCAACTTCCCGAGTGTTTTTGCCCTTACTACCCGAGTTTTTAAGCCCAGACTACCCGAGCGTTTTTGCCCTGACTACCCGAACGTTTTAGCCCTGACTATACCGAATGTTTTAGCTCTAGACTGCCCGAGTGTTTTAGCCCCGACTACAAGAGTGTTTCGCCCATTTTATCCCTGCCTACCTGAACGTTTGGATTGCAGCCCTTTTCCAGCACCACTTTGAGAATGTTGTTCATGCCCTCGTACGCGGCAGTGTGGGCTGTCGAGCGGCCGTGTCTGTTTGCCGCATTCACATTGGCACCTTTCTGTACTAGATAGGTGGCAATAGTCTCCTCTTTCCTATCACGGACAAAGGGCAGAGTATCAGTCAGAAATCACACACCAGCATCAATGTGGTTGGGGTGGGGGTGGGGTTGGGGGTGGTGGGGGCAGTGTCTGATCAGCTACAAAATGACGCATGATCAAAACTGTGCATTGACAAAAATGAAAACATGCAAGAATTATACTTAGAAACTCAATCTCCCGCAAACGTATGTATCAAATTAATGATAAGCATATGATTGTATTTAACAGTATTTCGCTATCATCTGAGATTTCTTAATTTCTACATTTTCTCAAAACCTGTCGACAAAAGTAACTGAAAAGCAACTTGACAGCGCTAATATGTCATCACATTCATGGAGTATCACACTACTGTTTACTCGGTCCCTCTCTGTCATGATTATCTGACATACCGAGTCTGGTTTTATTTTTAAAAGAATAAACCGTACGGGCTACCAAACAGTCTGACAGCGTCTTATTACCCGGCTATGGCGGTCAGTAGTGCCGTGCTTTTCTCAGCGTTTTCGGCATTAATTTTGGCGCCATTGTTCACCAGAAGTTTGACCACCTCCTCGTGACCTTCATGCGCGGCTATCATCAGAGGCGTCAGGTTCTTAAAGGTGCAGTTAGCCTACAGAACAAAGAGTATCGTTACATGTTGTAGAGAAACGACACAAATAAAACAAATATCAATGTTACATGTTGATGAACTATAATCGTCACAGATTGAGTAAATAATCTTCTAAGGTTTAAATCATGTTCAAACCTCGTTTTGATCCTGTTTAACGGATTTTATAAAATTTAACAAATTATGATTAATTTGAAAAACAAAGACGCGCCTGGAAAATCGTCAAAAAAGGAGATGCCTGTTTGTGGACCTTTTAAAAATTAATTTTAGAAAATATGACCAAATTCAGCCGACATTTTGAAAATGTGTAGTTCTAGCAATTCGCGAAATGCTGAAATTCACCCTTTTTTGACGCTAGATTAACCACCAAAACTGTCATTGTATCGCTATTTTTAATTGTAGCAAATGGATTTTTGCTATTTAACTCTATAATGTTCGAGATAATAATAAAAAGATGCAATGAGGTGAAAATTTATACATTATCGATATTTTTCTTTTACTAATTTAGTGTAAATCACGGTATTTTTAATTTTAATCCCGCAAAAGGTAAAGCACAACACAAATAATAATGGGACAAAAAAGAAGCACATGGAACCCCGCTTTTGGTGCTGATTAAGGAAGAGAAACACATTTTCTTGTGATCCATTGAATATTAAAAAAAAAAAAAACATTTAATAGCAGAATTATTATATCGAGCATGATATCTGCAAATGAAAAGTGAAAAAATAGGACTTTTCCATTAAAAAATGAGGGGTAAGGATAATCTAAATAGCTTTTCTGAGATAAAAGAGTAAGTTTTAGAAATTTTACTTCTATAATTTAGAAGAAAATACTATTCTCATCAAACGTTCATACATGCCTGATAAAACAATTGGAAGATATTGTATGAATATGAATTTGTTCTGCATACGATTAAAACAAACAAAACGAACACATCGACACATAATTCTATTTTTACATTTTCTACTATGCTATTCACTCCTTTTACCAAAAATAGGTATAAGAAAATAACCTTTTTTCAAAAATGTTCAACTTCTCAGAGGAGTAGATCCTTAATGAAGTATAAATCTCAGATTGGCGAGACATATGTATATATATATATGAACGTTATATTTAAAACGAAGAGAAACTTCGGTTAAAACAGTATTTATCAGCATGTCACATTATTCACATTTTTATTTAGAAAACAAAATAAGTCCAGTTACTTTACTTAAGATATATTGACTTTCTTCTCACCAGATCTTTGTTCTTTTCGAGCAGGCTTTTGACAACCGACACATTGCCTTTAGCAGCTGCTGTGACGATCTGTTCCGGTCCGACAGCTCTGCCTGCCAAAGCGTCCAGTACCAAAAGATGTGCGATCATACGGGTCAATCCATCTGACATATCATCGGCAGCCGTGCCTAAAGACACGAAGAAACCATTGTGGTGGGACAGTGGTTACATTATCTGCTTGAAAATAATCGAACTTGGCTTGTTCTAATTGTTCGAAATACTAGCTTATCAAGCTTATGTATTACAATCTATCTTAATACGCGAGGAAATTGGACAAACCCTTCCGAGCTCGAAACCAATGGCACTACATGCTCTTCTACCACAGCCGCTAGTCTCGATCTATATGAATAATTGACAGGGACGGCCTACAACTAAGCTGTACGATGAGTGGAGCTTTGTCGATTTAACATTGTGAACTTTCCCTTCCTTGATAGCAACCTCCCAGTTTACGAACATAGGACGTTTAGTGTCGCAGTCGATTCGATATGCAAGAGCGTGCTCCGAATATCACAATTTCCGTGTTAGATGTCCAGACAAACTTCCCACACCGAGATTCCAAAGATGTAAGTTGCTTAAGACCATGGACGCCATTATGATCCCATGTGGAAATACGCTATTTTTGTGTGATATGAAGGTCGATGTTTCCAATTACGTTTATTAGTGTGCTGTGTTATTACGTTTTATTACTCTTGCCCTTCTGGAACAACTGGTCTTATTCTCCTATATTTTCCTAATCATTTTCTTTAGGTTGGTAAATATGGATTGTGAAAAGATTCATGTAGCATGCATTCCCGACGTTTCGATGACTAGTACGGTATGTACTCTGTCACCTTCATTAGACAAGTGACCAGTGAAGCGTATGTACACAAAGGTGTAAATTATTTACGAGTTGTCCACGCAAATTGATGTCGATTCGGCTACGCTGTAAGTGAATGTACAATTAGTTGTTTTATATGTACCGAAACGACTCGGTTCGGCTACGCTTTAACACACATGCGAGACGCATTGTATATCCAATATATGGAGATGAAGATGGAAAGACTGGAAGGCGATTTGTGGTCTGCTTTGGTGAACACCGGAAAGATAAAGAAACTCAAGAGTGAAAAAAAATCATCATGATAAAAAAGGAAGCAGTCGAAGTCCCAGGTCAATAAATCGGCAATCACAGGCCATGCCACACAGAAAATAATTTGATTGACTGGGATAACTCCAAACAATCACAGGCCATTCCACACAGAAAAGTCTTGTGATTGACTGGGATAGAAAAATCATGTGATTGACTGGGATAATCCCAAACAATCACAGGCCATTCCACACAGAAAAATCCTGTGATTGACTGAGATAACTCCAAACAATCACAGGCCATGCCACACAGAAAAGTCATGTGATTGACTGGGATAGCTCCAATCAATCACAGGCCATGCCACACAGAAAAGTCATGTCATTGACTGGGATAGAAAAACCATGTGATTGACTGGGATTACTCCAAATAATCATGTGATCGACTGGGATAGCTCCAATCAATCACAGGCCATGCCACACAGAAAAGTCATGTCATTGACTGGGATAACTCCAAACAATCACAGGCCATTCCACACAGATAAATCATGTCATTGACTGAGATAACTCCAAACAATCACAGGCCATTCCACACAGAAAAATCATGTCATTGACTGGGTTAACCCCAATGTATTGGGCAGAGAGAACATGAGAGGGCTCATAGACTCTCGCGACTTATACATATTTTGTACATACGCTTCCTTGGTCATTCATCTGATGATGGTGTATTCTAACACGATTCGTTTGCAACGCGTGTTTTGATTGGATACGGACCATGTTCTAATCTGCCTATCGCATCATAATCATGATCAATCGTGTTAAGCTCCTCCCATCGCCCCGTTTCAAACCAAAACAATATGGCGTCAAGCTCGCCTCTTAGCGAAATCCCGCTGATAAGGCTAGCAGGCAACAGAACAGAAACGACCGATGAAATGTATTTGTTGAATGAATTAAAAAGTACTCATTACTTGGTCTTACCTCCATTTATTACTGAAACGTTCGTTCCATCCGTGTGAAGGCATATATTTAGATCCCAAATCAAATGAAACATTTCACATGTGTCGTAGGCCTATGTATTTACACAAAACCCTTCACAAATCTATATAAATAATCGCCGATTTTATCGATAAGCACATATTGGTATGCATACTGACATGGAAATGAAAGAACTTCGTCAATATCAATCCAAATGTGTCGTATAAACTTCGGTAACAGGACGTTCACGAACAATGCAAATATTCCGCCTCGTCAACATACAAATCGAGCGCTCGCCAGTATAGGCGGGGCCAAATGACCGACTTTTGAAAGCTTCTTTCCGATTGGTCAGTCCGCTGCAGATTGACACGTCGCCAGTTCAGGTCACAAAGTATTTTACTACGTACTTTTGTACAAGGAAATACAATGTTTCTAAACATATTAGCGTAGTATATTTGTTAAGGTGTGTTATAATGGGGATAGTACGTTGTTTTTCGTGTCTATACTGGCGATTAGAACATGAAATTTGGTTTAAACTCTCGACCTATCGGTCTCGAGTTCAAACCCAAACTTCATGTTCTAATCGCCAGTATAGTCACTCAAAACAACGTACTATCCCCTAAATAGTACATATTGTACTAGTCACTAGTTTACACTTTCAATGGTCTCTACGTAATATTTCCTTTGTTCATATTTTGCTCTAGTTTCATCGATTTTGAGTTCGAATCGCGGTGTATTTTCTTGTTATTTCTTTTAATGCTATCCCCTATTCCGGCTGTGACAACGTACCTGGTATCTACTCTTCCATACTTGAATAGGTATATGATACCCCTGTCCCGGATGTGACTACGTACCTGGTATCTCCTCTTCCAGACTTGAATAGGTATATGATACCCCTGTCCCGGATGCGACTACGTACCTGATGACCGGGAGGTGCTGAAATCCTCCTGAACCTCTAGGGTGTCGGTGTTGACTCCTGGTGCTGGACGGAGACAAGCAGGGTTAAATACCCAGGTCTGTTGTCCGAACGCAACTGCAGCATCCCCGTCTGAGTCGATCTTGACGACTCGACCCACCTTATTGATCGCCTAGTGACAGACAGGGATAGGTTATAAAGGACGTAGACAAGGGTCAGGGATAGGTTACAAAGGACGTAGACAAGGGTCATAGATAGTATATATAAAGGACGTAGACAAGGGTCAGAGATAGGTTATAAAGGACGTAGACAAGGGTCAGGGATAGGTTACAAAGGACGTAGACAAGGGTCAGTATAGATTACAAAGGACGTAGACAAGGGTCAGAGATAGGTTACAAAGGACGTAGACAAGGGTCAGAGATAGGTTACAAAGGACGTAGACAAGGGTCAGAGATAGGTTACAAAGGACGTAGACAAGGGTCAGAGATAGGTTACAAAGGACGTAGACAAGGGTCAGAGATAGGTTACAAAGGACGTAGACAAGGGTCAGAGATAGGTTACAAAGGACGTAGACAAGGGTCAGAGATAGGTTACAAAGGACGTAGACAAGGGTCAGAGATAGGTTACAAAGGACGTAGACAAGGGTCAGAGATAGGTTACAAAGGACGTAGACAAGGGTCAGAGATAGGTTACAAAGGACGTAGACAAGGGTCAGAGATAGGTTACAAAGGACGTAGACAAGGGTCAGAGATAGGTTACAAAGGACGTAGACAAGGGTCAGAGATAGGTTACAAAGGACGTAGACAAGGGTCAGAGATAGGTTACAAAGGACGTAGACAAGGGTCAGAGATAGGTTACAAAGGACGTAGACAAGGGTCAGAGATAGGTTACAAAGGACGTAGACAAGGGTCAGAGATAGGTTACAAAGGACGTAGACAAGGGTCAGAGATAGGTTACAAAGGACGTAGACAAGGGTCAGAGATAGGTTACAAAGGACGTAGACAAGGGTCAGAGATAGGTTACAAAGGACGTAGACAAGGGTCAGAGATAGGTTACAAAGGACGTAGACAAGGGTCAGAGATAGGTTACAAAGGACGTAGACAAGGGTCAGAGATAGGTTACAAAGGACGTAGACAAGGGTCAGAGATAGGTTATAAAGGACGTAGACAAGGGTCAGAGATAGGTTACAAAGGACGTAGACAAGGGTCAGGGATAGGTTACAAGGGACGTAGACAAGGGCCAGAGATAGTATATAAAGGACGTAGACAAGGGTCAGAGATAGGTTACAAAGGACGTAGACAAGGGTCAGAGATAGGTTACAAAGGACGTAGACAAGGGTCAGAGATAGGTTACAAAGGACGTAGACAAGGGTCAGAGATAGGTTACAAAGGACGTAGACAAGGGTCAGAGATAGGTTACAAAGGACGTAGACAAGGGTCAGAGATAGGTTACAAAGGACGTAGACAAGGGTCAGAGATAGGTTACAAAGGACGTAGACAAGGGTCAGAGATAGGTTACAAAGGACGTAGACAAGGGTCAGAGATAGGTTACAAAGGACGTAGACAAGGGTCAGAGATAGGTTACAAAGGACGTAGACAAGGGTCAGAGATAGGTTACAAAGGACGTAGACAAGGGTCAGAGATAGGTTACAAAGGACGTAGACAAGGGTCAGAGATAGGTTACAAAGGACGTAGACAAGGGTCAGAGATAGGTTACAAAGGACGTAGACAAGGGTCAGAGATAGGTTACAAAGGACGTAGACAAGGGTCAGGGATAGGTTACAAAGGACGTAGACAAGGGTCAGAGATAGGTTACAAAGGACGTAGACAAGGGTCAGAGATAGGTTACAAAGGACGTAGATAAGAGTTAGTGATAGGTTACAAAGGACGTAGATACAATTCAATAGTCTTTAACACACACAGTTATTTTGAGGTGATTGTCTTTTAAGCATAAAGGTAATGTTGCTATGAAGTTCGTCGTTAAGGAAGTGTTAGCAAAGAAAAATTAAATAACTTTTACGGAAATGAATCTGAATTGTTTTTCGGATTGACAAGGATGATTGAAATGGTCAATTGATCGCGTTTAGAAGGATCAAGTAATAATTTGGTGAGTAATATCCAATTAGTAGGTATTAGGCATTTAACGAAACACCGAATTTCGTGAGAGATCAACGCCCGCTTCTGGCCTTGTATAACAAAATGAACATGGCAAATATTAAAACTGGTAGTAATACTGTTTGTTACAGTGCCTTGACATCATCACGGAGATGACGGAGGTATACATATATATATATATTATAAATCAGAAAAATTGTCCTTACGGACGAAGAAATATTATAAAAAGAAACATTCTCAACAACGAGTCTTTAGTACTTTCATCTCTTCTAGGAGATTCTTCAGATATCAAACCCTTTATCAGTCCTTATATATAGGTACAGCGAATACATGTGTTGTATCCTTATATACAATTAATAAAGTTCTTATGTAAATGTAGATAGTCTATATACAAAATATCTGCGGTACCTTATCCATCTCTTCATCCCAGCCTCCATGGTTCTTTTGCATCAGCTCAACCCTTTTCTTGTCTCCAAGGACACGCACGATGTCGTTGACCTTGAACGTGTCCACCTACCGAACAAACACGTCATGTGAGACAGTCAGTGAGCTAGAGTGGAGCAGTATAAGGTATAGGTTGGGTATTACGGTTTTCGTGCTAAGTATGGCACAATACTTGACTCACTGGAAGTTAGCACGCACTCAAACTACTCACGGAGTACGCCGTTTCTAATTAAGGAGAACTTTACAAAACAGAACAGGCTAGAGTATATATATATATCAAATATCCAAAAGGTTGTAATATATAAAGTACGTTATAAGGTGGATGGGTTATATTTTGTTGGGGTTGACCTTTTTAGAGAGATTTATGAAACCTCAAGTGGATTTAGCTTAGATGAGTCCTCCTTCTAGACATCGTTGTCCATATACAAGAGCATTTCACTGTAGACTATGTGTATAGCTCTGAGAGTAACCTATGGGAGACACTGACGGACAATCATAACATACACATCTTTGTGAGAGCCTATTGGTCGACAGTCTGTGTATTTAGAGTATTTTGATATCACATCTTTTAGCAGCCTGATACCTTGATATCAGCCCGAGCGCCGCATGCCAGAGGTATGATATAACGTCAAGGACTGATAAAGGGTTTGATATCAAAATAGTCATATCATAATCTTTTTATTATACATTTTGAAAAACAAAACAAAAATATATTTATTTAACAAATGTATTTGTTTTTGCTATTGTCTGTGCCGGACACCGAAGCGTCTTAACATAAAACTGAAATCCGTCATGATCAACCCAGGCTGGTAACTAGTTATCGGCCAAGGTTGGTGTAACAACTGTTTATCAGCCCAGGCAGTGATATCACAACGCAAACAACACGTGTATCACACGGGCAAAATATATGTTAGCAGGTACATATCAAGGTATCTGGCTGATAATGCTTGTGATATCAAACTAGTCACATAGTTACCTCTAAGAATAATATACTAGTCATTGTGAACGCCATATTAGGACATTGTGTCTTTGTGTATAAATGTACCAATATTTGACAGCAACATCCCCCACTGCAAAAGTAATATGACAATAAATTCATCACTTTGTTACCACTCCCTCCCGTTGTAGACCCGCTTGGTATATAAGTATACCAACTTTAGACAGCGCCCCGTTGTAGACCTGTTTGGTATATAAGTATACCAACCTTAGACAGCGCCCAAGTGTATTCCC